GTGTTGGCTCTGAATTAGGTCGAGAGCAAGATGCCAAGAAGTACACAGGAGTATGAAGGTGAACCCAGTTTCCCATCCTGATTAAACGTGTCAGCATTCCAGTGCTTCACAGCAATAACATTTCAGTTTCTGTCTGGGGAGATCTAACAGTTCTGCAACACTGAAAATGATGTAAAAGTAGATGGATTGTGTAAGTTTGCAAATACTCCCTGTCTTAAGTCATGGAAAAATTCATTGCCGTTTACTAAAATTAGACCAAGGTACCAATTTAAAATTACCCTAAAACTTTTACTGAGAAGTAGATAAGGCATCAGACTCCAGCTGGGTCAGACACCGACCTCAGCCTCTGCCTTGCCATTATTAGAGCTGAGCCAGTACTTGTAAGAGCGAAGACAGAATTTCATGGTATAGTAAGAAAGAAGTTTCTAGCATTCTGTCGTCAGACAGACATTCTTTGTAGCTATCTTCCAGGGCCTGTGAACCACCACTGCAAGTGGAAAGCTGCCACTGCTTCTGCACATCTACCCTTTCAGAGTGCACCTCTGGTGGCAGACTGCTGGGACAGGTCTAACAGCTCCACACAGAGCAGTGGAGTAGAGGGGGATAATTTAACAGACTAACATGAAGTCAGTTCACCCCCAGCTTCCATTCAGACAGTTAATTCAAGTATTTCTCGCTGTTTCTGAGCGGTCCCATGGAACTCAGTGGTGACTCCCACACGTAGTCACTTCTGATGTGGCACATGCCCAGGGACAGGGTGTCCTGTCAGGGTCACCCAGGCTGGGAGCCAGCACGTGGGGCAGTGACACAGAGGGCAGGTGGGCAAAGGGACCACCTCTGCCTCTGTAGTGTCAAGTCCTTCAGGTCTGTTTCCTGTTTTCAGGTCCTCATTTTGTTCTCAGGAAAGGGAAGGGAAAATTACTGCTGCCTTTAGCTAAGGAACACAAGAGAAGTGTTACTATCTCGGTAAGCTTTATTGGGATTGTGCTGATCTCCAGGAGAAGGATGTCTCTGGAAAGAAGAGCAGGTTTTGGACCTCAGCAGTGGGGTGAGGAAGCCAAGGAAGGAATTCTGACAAGCCTGAGCACTCCACAAAACCTGTTTTGATATTCTTCCTATTTTGGATTTTAACCAGTAGATGTCTCTGTTTTATCACGAAGTTTTGGAGAAGAACACACCATTCCTGTTGTCACAACACACATTTAGTAAAACCCTCTTTGCTTCCCACGGAATGAATATGCATGAATCTGAAAATGCCCTAATGCTCTTGGCGTGTCCTTCTGATCCCTGACCAACCTGAGAGCCTGGGAGCTTCTGGGAGAGCTCTGGCTGCTAAGCAACTCTGAAAATCACTCTTAGGGAAATATCCTAAAGGCTTTTAAGAAGACAAAAGAGCAATTGGTGAGATTCTATGGACATTCATCTAACAATGTAATAAATGCAGCACAGCTTTCATTAGCACATTGGGAAGCAGCTTTCAGAACAGTATGGAGTCCCTGATTTCTACAAAATGCCTCAGGACATTCCAAGTTGTGATAGATGAGTTAGCTTCTCTGCTTCATGACTGCGTAAGACAATATTATTTCTGTATCTATAGCTATCAAGAGTAATAATGTAGATGGTTTGAAACATTCACACACAACTGAAAATACCCATGTGACGCAATTCTACTCAGACATTCATATTTTCCTCAGTGTTTGAGAAAAATACAGGATATACAATTCTAACTCTGAACTATCTAGAGAAGAAATTAACAGTTTTAAAATTATATTCAAATTCTATCACTTCAAATACGTATAAAATGAAGACATATAATTTCAGAAACAATAACTTCTTCAATTTTAGTAACTGTCTAAGAATGTGATAATTTTCTAGTCATTGTTTCTTGGCTTTACCCTTGTCCTATGGCAGGCAGTAGTTCACATGCTAAATACCAGGACCTAGTTTTTTGTCTCTTTTTTTTTTTTTATCTTTTTATTTGAGATCCTGCATCAGCTCATTAGAGAGAAGAAACTCCTGACTGGATCTGCACCGAGCCCTAAACTGCATCAGAGCTTTTTGTCTGCAGGTTGTTGTCTCCTGGTCAGGTGCCCCTTTATGGAAATCCCTACAGGAACTGTTAGGATTTGTACTTGTATCTCATGCTAACTAAACTGCATAATATATGTTAAATAAGAAAACCGTTGCCCAGTTCAGGTGACAGCTCTGCCCACATGAACCAGAGCAGTATGCTGGGGCTTTTTTTGGCCATTGAGACCCGAGTCTATGCTGGAAACAACTTCTCCACCTGGAGGGAGCACTGCACCAAGGACAAATGTGCCTGCAGAGTTTGCCTGCACTTGCACACACTGGGGCTGCTTCTCCTCCTGTAAAGTGCAGCTATAGGTGAGTCCCCACTGAAGCCACACTTATGCTCCAAATGCACTGTGATGAGAGGCACGGAGGGCCGGTCTCTGAGAGTCCTGTGTCACTGGCTCCACCTTCTCAGATGGTGGCCACTTCCAGGAGCCAAGCAGAACATGAAACAGTAGAAGAAAATATCAGGGCTTACCCTGAAATGACTTACTAGCTGTTCCCAAAATGCATGGATAATGAGGAGCTGATTGCAGAAGGGGAAATCAGTGTCCAATAGTTGCAGAAGAAAGACCAAATCATCTGTCAAATCTTTCTGATTGTGAAATTAATGGCCAGGCCACCCCAGAGTTTTCCATGACTGCAGCTATAAGCAGAGTCAAGCTTAAGACAAGAAATAAACCTGAAAATAAATTTGTCAGGTATGAACAGCTATTATACAGCTGTTTGCAGCAAAGTTACGGGCAATGAAACTCACCTTCAAAGAACCCTTGAACATGGAACAAATGTATTATACTCTGGCTGTGCCTCAGGAGTTATCTTTCGTAGCTGATGATTTCATGTTTTAACTGCCAGCATCTGGCAATTTAAGACAGAAGCATGGCATGGAGGCTTTGGGGTATTTACAACTGGTTCTATACACACACTGATTACACCTATTGATACTTCCTGAAAGCCACATAAACACCCCCCCACCACCACACCAAAACTCTGCTGTAAGGGCAGTGTGATTCTTTATGATGCATGATCTTTATGGTAAGAGATAGCACTGCATTAGAAAGCCACCGGGACCAAAATGTGTGTCATCATTCAGTCAGAAGTGCCAATCAAAACATAGGAAGTGTTTTTGAAAAATCTTGTACTGTGGAATACATGTGACAAAACCCTGTGAGTGCTGGTAGTTCACAGAGAATCACGGAAGCACTCAGAGGACAGTATAATTCAGGCACCAGCCACTTATACCTGGAATAAACTGGAACAACTGTGTATAAGGAACATATGTAGTATCACTATGAAAACGTACAGCTATGTTCTTTCCAAAGGATTATTTACTATTGAACCTGCAGATTATCATTGCTTCTGCTTTATTCTGTGTCCTTCATGCCCAATTATTTTTCCGTAAATTATCTAATATGAAACACATTCTTGTGGGAAAATACCTACTGTACTGTACCTATAAGCCAACTGACACTGATGTATTGCACTGCTATTAACAGAAACATGGCAACAGCACCACGGCTGCTGCTCGGGGCTTTACTCCACAGGATTTATCTCAGTAGTCAGGGGCAGGCAGGCTCCTGTGAGGAATGAGAAGAAATGAGGGGATCTTTTGCCTTCAGTACAACACGCTCGATGTTACGACAGAAAAGTTGGTCTGAAATGAAGTAAGTGGCAATGGTACTTCTGCTGTCACACAAGGTGCAGAAATGCAACATGGAGCTAAGAGAGTCAAAGCACAGGAATATCTGGGGTGCTTCTCAAAACTGGGGATCTGCAGTTGTCAACTGATATTTTCAGCATTTAAGAAAACACTCCTCATCTTTGAGCTCCTGTTTATATTTACTTCTCACAGAACCTGTAATAGTTTCTGCTTTAATGGTAGTATTTCAAAAGGAACCTAGTCTGGCAGGAGATTGGGACTATTTAGCAATACAGGACTATATTAACTCACAGTGAATGTTCTGCCTTCCACCAGTCTGAACATGACTGTGTGGACACACTTATGCTCAAATGCTTAGCTCCCTGCTTCATCTCCAAATCCTGGTTGCTTGCAGGCTTCTTCCAGAGGCAGGTAATCTCCTCCCTCTGAGATGAGACCAACATTCTTAATGCGACACTCCAGAGGAGCAATATGGAAAACACACTGAAATCTAAAATCAGGACCAAGGATGTTTAGATCAGACCTGCCCATGAGCTCCACCTCTGCACAGAGCCCTTGTGCTGTGGGTGTCCCTGCTGGTGTTCCCCAAATGGGAGGGACTGCTGAGTGATCCAGCTAGGAACTCAGCTCAGCCAGGACAGACACTCTCATCACTGTCACAAACGTGTTTTCAAATGT